TCAAAAATGCGATTTGTACTTTGTTTACAATTTAACATGGACAGACAGTCGCACGGACGGGCATGCATAAATCCACTTAAAAAGTGACTCTATGCTCATTCTCAAAAGGAACCAAGTGTCTATCTCGTTTTCTTTTGCCTGTTACAAACATATGCACAAAGACATAATACCCTGTACCATAGTGTGGTGAAGGGTATAAAATTTTATGTTTGCCGGAATTTTTATATGTTGGTCCTGTTCGGTGCTTTTAAGTGGTTATAACTTAGCATTCGGGATTCCGGGTGAATAAAAAAACTTTTTTTCAGAAAATTCCAACAATGCGTCAATATGAAATCGTAAAACATTGTTTCAAAAAAAGCCTTTTAAAGTTTGAGAAACACTGTTGCCCTTGCTTGATGGCGACACAAGTCTTACTGAAGTCCTGATGGATATCGTAATATTTGAAATTTTGTATATACATTGTTACTACTCATACAGTGTTTAGTCCACGTTCACTGCAAACAAAATTCAATAACAAAGCCATCTAATAGTAGTCCAGCGTCATTTTGCGGTATTTTGCAGGGGTTAGCCGCATGCCCTTGCCGAATTAGCTGGATTTTGATATTCCAAGTTCCAGATTGGAGTGCGAAAAATAACTCTGTAGATAATTTTCCATATAGGGAATTTTTTTCCATAGTCCTAATATTCGGTATTGTGAAGCTTTTATTTATATTCTCCCTGTAAGTTGGCATTACACTTTTTTGGAGGGTGAAAACCATTATTGCAGAAAATGGCATATATTCCACAATTAAGGTCCCGTCCAATACTCGGTATTTAGAATGTTTTAGCCTCATATCGCCACCGAGTATCTGTAATTTGGAATTCTGAATTTAGGGAGAAGCTATGCTGAAAATATTTGATATGAATCCATGGTTTTAAGATGGTCTCATATAAAAGACCCATTGCATATACCACAACTGACAATAACATAGTAAGTTTGGTGCGGAACTTAAGAGAGGTTTTTTAATGTTTCCTTAAGTATGAGGGCTAATTCCTAATTTTTGGCTTAATAATGAGAATGCTAATATTTTTCAATAAAAATGATTTAGATTGTTTTACAAAAGCATTCTCCAGCCTAATATTGCTATGAAAAAATGTGCTTCATCGAAATATCTGTTTTAGACCCCAAGTCTGTCTGGCTGGCAGGTGTACACGATAATCGAATCGATTAACCTATGCACATCATAATATTTCTTCCACACCTTCTGGTAACACCCCCGTAAAGTGGACCAAATTCGAATGAAACTTAATTTTATTATATCATGCGAACGGAGTATCCGAATTGAACCAAACTTTGCATAACCTAGTATTTTAAAAATGCATTTGCATTGTTTGAATATTGAATTATCGGTCAACTCCTCCTTGTACCTCCCAATCCCTCCCAATGGGTTCAAAACCTCATGTGGTGAATTATTTTAGGAAGTCCTTTTGTGTCTAAACTTTGTTGATAAAAAATGCTAGATTTTGTGTCTAAAAAGTTGTCTTTTTTTCGCCGAAGTGGCTGTAAATTATAAATATGTTTTTTTTTTTTAAATTTTTCGATGTAGATCCATCTTTTGACATAACCTTATTATAAAGTGGGACGCGACCAATTTTCGGTAGTCTGAAGTGGATATAATTTGGCATTCAGGATTCACTGTTAACTAAAAACTCCTTTTCAGAAAGTTTCCGAGTAGGTTCATGATTTTTCATCGCTCCCATACGAAGGCCCTTTTAATTTGGGTTTTCATTTTACCAAATAGACAACGTACTAGCAGGCGATGCTATAGTAACCATATTAAGTACCGACTATTTTGAGAGAATTTTTTACTTGCTTACAGGGGTACTGGCACTTTTTATACCCTACACAACTATGTTGTCAGGGTATTATAGCTTTGTGCAGCCCAAAAGTTTGTAACGCCGCGAAATATTGGTCCTAGACCCACCTTCGTCATATCTCGACTAGCTGAGTCGATCTAGACATGTGTGTCCGTCCGTCCATTATATTTTGTAAACACGATACAGGCCACCGTTATGCGCCAATCTTCACGAAATTTTGCATGTAGGATGGGTTCTGGCTAATGAAGACCCCCATTGTTTTTGGAAAAGATCGGTTAATATTTAGGGGATGAAATAGACCAAAAACTTTATTTTTGTCGGTTTTTCTGGTCGCTCCAGAGATCGCAATTATGACCCAAACACCGCGAATTTTTGCATGGAGAAGGGGATCGGGCCAAAGAATAAACATGCATATATTGATAAAGATTGGTCGATATTTAGCGGGTCAAATGAACCCAGACTTTTGTGTGGAAAATGACAAAATTTGTATTCTATGGCGTATATATTTACTCCTGAAGGACATAGATCCGAGAAGTTGATAGTATATCCAAGAGGAGTGGTTTACCTTTACATTGATACCAATTGCATTGTCGTGGGTACTCGTATTCATATATTATTCAGTAACGCATTACCACACTAGAGGGCGGAAATACATCGCGGATCGCTTTGACAATTTCTATGAGGATCCAGGTATGGTCATGGACAACTCAACTACTAATATTTAGATGAAGCGAACCGAAAACTTAATTTTTTGTGTTTTTTTATAAGTCGATTTATAGGCCACTATTGAAAGCCGAACATCACAACAAAACCCACGGTGAAGTGGATCTGTAGACGTCTAGTCGGTCAATGGGGTACAAATATCGCTAAATATTGCCCAAGCTCAGAATATCGAACCATAGAAAATTAGATTTTCGTGGAAGTTGTGTAGGGTATCATAAGGTCGGCCCCGTACGACTATACTGCTCCGCTCACTGGTTTTAACATTGGGAAATCAAACTCATAGCGTGAAACATAGGGACATTTTAATGCGTCAATGTAAAATCTAAATAATTTTAACTTTCCAAAAAAAAAATAAATAAATAAAAATGCTAAAAAAGTTCTACATCAATTTTTTTGGTGCTAATCGAGTTTGAAAAGTGCTAAATTGGCATCACTGGCTGGGTTGTTGGCGTAGACCTTACCTTTCACAAGGCCACGCAGAAAGAATTCGCAAAACGTTAAATCACAAGATCTCTGTGTGTGAACAGTTGTGATCCAGATTTCCGTTCGACGATCTAGACATTTTTATCGTACCGCCTTTTGTATGACACCTAACGTCATCTAGTTGAAAGTAGCCAACCATAACAAGTCATCAATCATATCTCATATTATCATGAATTCATTGTAACTGTTGATCCAATAATATTTTTGAAAATGTGAGGTCTTATTACCCCGCAGGACTATGAACCACTTTACAATTTGTTTTTTTTTTCGATTTCCAACTGTGAGAATTTTCTTCTTGGCGAGGTGGCTACGTTAAGAAGAAATCAGTAAAGATAATGTTTCAATTAAATTCCGGATCATTTTTCATGAATTTTAAGGATCCAATCAGTAATCGGACGTGAACGACCATATGATACTTTACACAACTACCACTGAGCTTTAAATTTCTGTGCCTGGTTAAACCCCGGGCCTGGCAAAATTGCGCGATATTTACATATTTACATTCTGATATACGGGCACTTACATCAATAGAATTGGTATCAGAATAAATATCAATCATCCCTGCCTTATACACTTGCATCCTTTCCCTATCAAATCTTGGTTCAGAAATCGTTAGTAAACATATTAAGATAGTAAGCATTTCCTCTTCCTATCAAAAATAAACAGTATTAATCCCTCTTTTAAGTAAGCCCTCATATAACGTTATCTCTCAAATTTCGATATTTTGTGGAGATTGGTAATGTTTTTCAAACATAATGGCTATAATTTTATATTTTTGGTATCTTATTATGTAGAAGATTCACCTTACACGTAGACGATTGCCCATCGCTACACCCCATTTTTTCGGAAATTTGGACACGGTTTTTATCTGAATTGGCTCTCGTACGATTTTTTTTGTGTTTGGTTTGAAAATATGTTTTTAAGAATATAAAAATACTCATATGTTGATGCAAAATATTAAATAAGTCCAAAATTGACCTTAAATTCTTCTCCAAATACCGAAACGATTTGAATTAGCCGGAAAGCTGTTGATGTTGCATGTAAAACAAAATAATTATAATTATATAATTATATATTTGCCCCGCGAAATACTGCGAAATACTCTGCTTAGTCGATGGACAGAACCCCTTCCCCCTGTACAATTTCTCGACCAAGAAGACTGTCAAAAATAAAACTTTTGGTTTATATCACCAGTACATGCCAAATTTGGTTCATAAATGCGGTCTGTTCATTGATTGCAATTCATAATGGATGGACAGACACACATTGCTTGATCGATTTAGATATTCAAGATATGACTGGTATACTAAAATTTGGGTCTGGAACCAACGTTTTCTTATGTTACTAACATTTGGAGCCACACGAATATATAAAATATTTTATAATTTTAGTCTTAAATGTACAAAACCAGCGACACTAAAACTGAACCTAATTTTTAGATATGGATTTTTATTTCACCATAACTGATGTTGGTTACAGACATTTTCCATTCCAAATTGTCTAATTTGGAATTACAGAATTGTTTTTCTATACTGACATATATTAAACAGAAATATAGTTACTTTTATTGAATATATTTGAAAATTTGCAATTTGTCGTTGCGATATTTTGAAACAATTTTTTGTTAGAAAGCCTCATTTTTTAGTATTCACTATCAAGATTTCGAATGTTGTGTTGTTTTATAAATCTTTTTTTCTCTTTTTTCTCTATTTTCAGATTGATTTGATGAAAAAACCAAAACCAAAATGCATAATTCCAATAATAATCATAACAACAGCAACAACAACAACAATGCAACAAATACAATTAACAATAATTTAAAAAGTTGTTATTATTACAACAGCAATAATAATAACAACAACAATATAAATACAAATAATAATCAAAATGTCTTAGCCAATAATAATATGTTGCAGCAGCAACAACAGCAGCAGCAGTTGTTGCATCATCAACAACAGCATTTGCGTGTTAGTAATTGGGTGCAAGATACAACACGCACACAAAATCAATGCCAACAACAACAGCCGCAATTAGTGCAACAGCAACAATATTTGCAGCAACAACAACAACGACAATATCATAATTATGCTCAACAGCAACAACAACAAACACCACCTCACATTTCTCCAACACCACCAGCAACAGCGATCTCTTCATTGCCATCAATGAATTTCTATGCCAATCAACAGCAAGCTCAACATGCACAGCAACAGCAACAACAACAACTATCATCACATCTACATCCACAGCAGCAGCATCAACCACAACATCGATTGCCATGTAGCATACAACAGCAGCAGCAACAACAACAACAGCAGAATTTAAAAACAATGCATCCCCAACAAACACTAACCCACCAACAGCAACAACAACAACATCAGCAGATTTTAACACCCGCCCATTCACCGGTTACCGCAACCGCAATTCGCCAAACATCTTTACAACAACACCAACATCCACGACTACAACAACAACAGGTCCAACAATTGCAACAACATCTATCTCAAATGCAACAACAACAGCAGCAGCATCATCATCCACCACAACAACAACATCAAATGTTATCGCAGCATCAGAGAAGGGTAAGTGTTTTTTTTTTCTCCTCTCTTCCTTACTTATCTATACCTCATGAAATCAATTAGGAATAAAGGAAAAGAGGGAACGATCTGTATATAAATATGTATACATATCTATGTATTCAATATGTATTATATACATCTATAGTCAAGTGTTGTCGAATCGCAAACATCGCTGCTGTCGCCTTCGTCGTCGATCATCACATAGCTTCGTGTGTTTTCATTGGCAAAAGAGGTTCGCTGTGTCACCGTGTTTTTCTTTCTTCTTTTCGTTTTTCATGTTCGCTTCGCTGTCTTTTCTGATTTGTTGCATTTGTCGTGTTAGCTCACGTCTCGCGACTGTGAAGGAGGTGGAGTCTTCTACTGAATTTGCATCCAAAGACAAGACGTACATACATACATACGTATCTACCTTCTCACATATTCGTTTGTTTTGGGTTTGAAATGCCGTCGCTTTCGATGTTCAATTTGTGATGATATTCAAAAAGAAGGTTGGTTTACGAAATATTTTTGAACACAATTTAGAGATAAATTATTTAAAATTAATATTTAAAATACCAACAACAAATCTAATAAAACTAAATTTCCTAATCAAAATCCTACCCTACACAACTGTATTTTAAGGATGTTATTAAATTTGTGGGACCCAAAATTTATTTAATAACATGAAATGTTGGTTCTTATAATCGATTTACAGGTTGCAGTTATGAATCGATCGTTATGAATTTAGCTTGTGGTTCGGTTCTGACAAAAGCCTAAAAGTATTTGTTTTAGTATGATAAATATTTTTGGGATCAAAGTGACTTAAACCAATTTTGACCTCATTTCCATACTGAATTAGATCTGTCTTTATGATGACTTTAGGTGATCAAATTTACCTCTACCGCATAAATATCAATATATTTGCGAAAATGGAGCATATCAGTCCACTACATCTGGTAACTTCCCCACAAAAGAGGTGATATACGTTAGAAGCTGAACATCTAAAAAAAAAATAATAATGAGATAAAACAATGAGAAGCACATTTACCACGACATAATACAGTTCGTGGTCCCGAACGTCATAACACATTTGTAGCGAACACATTACCTGGTACCCTACACAACTACTACCGAGCTCTTAGGTTCTGTGGATCTATATTCCGAGTCTGGGTAATATTTTGCGATATTTGCTCTTTCCCGACAGATTTGAAATTAACGCTTCTCTGCGGCATATTTTCCGAATCATTTTTCCCGGAGTAAAAAATACTTCTTAAAATTAAAATTTTGTTATTTTACACAAAAAAAATTGGTTCAATTTCTTCGCTAAATATTGGCCGTTCATTATCATGGACAATTTGTGACGTTCGGCTTATAATTGTGGCGTTTTCGGCCTATATCATACACAAAATATCTGTTCGTATGTTCATCATCGAAAATAATAGGCGTCGTCATTTACCATATCTCGAACCTCAGCAAAATTGTCTAGCCACCAACGCTAAATTTCTGCTCCCTAGTGTGGTAACTGTAATACTAAACGATTTCAGAATGGGCAGACCCCGGCACATATTTACGTATAACTCCAACATTCGAGTACATATTACCAATTTAATTGGTATCAATTCATAGGTCAACCACTCTTCTTGGACTACTTCTCGGGTCTATGTCCTTCAGAAGTAAATATATATGCCATAAAAGAAAAATGTTATTATTTTTCACACAAAATTCTGCAAAATATTGATCTATCTTCATCCAGTCATGCGTATTCCATGGTCAGATCCCTTTCTCTGTGCAAAATGTCGTGATATTCGGGCCATAATTGTGGCCTCTACGGCGACCAGAAAAACAGACATAAAATAATGCTTTTGGTCCATTCCATTCCCTAAATATTAACCGATCATTACCAAAAAAATAGTATTCGTTGTCCAGAACCCTACATGCAAAATTTCGTGACGATCGTTTCATAGTTGTGGTCTGCACTGTGTTTACAAACTATAATGCACAAACGGACGTACACAATGTTTACATCCACTCAGGAGATATTACGATCGGTGAACTTAAAGGGTGACTAGGACCAATATTTCACGTCATTGGGGCCACACGAAGCTATAATACCCTTACAACATATTTGTGTAGGGTACAAATATATCCAATAAAACTGAAGACCCCAAACATTGTAAATACTCGTACGTTTCCTATGTTATAAACTCGTGTGGACCTCAGATTTTTTGTACAATAAAATATTGATCTAATCCATTTACAGTCCGTAGTTATGGACCGATCGTCTTGAAATTTAAATTTTTTTCTAGTCCCTTTACTGGTCACATCTCATTGTTGTGATGATTTTTAGGGGATCAAAAGGACCCCTTCCAGAAAAAATCTTGTGGTATGTTTTGTGATTATGTTTTGAGGGTTATCGAAAATCGAAATTGATCCAAACTATTAACTATTGGACTTTATTTAACATGCTTCGGAATGTACTATTTGGGGCAAATATGCACCGTTTTGTTGTATTATTTGTTGCCTGCACTCTATTTGCAAAAAACTTTGGTAGTAGATTTTCACAATCCTTCCTAGATACCAATTTTTATCATTAAAAAATTTTTGCAATGCAAAAGTCCTGGCGGATGCATTAAAACTTCCCAACCAACCATCCGAAGTTTCTGGCTGGAGTCACTGTAGATGTGTGTGGCCTAGCGTTGTCCTGGTGGAACACGACATCTCCTGTTGCTATCTTCAAACGGTCCAGTTGTTAACAGTAGATATGAGAATTTAGCGTTTGGCCATATGAAAGCAACTCATAATAAATACTTCCCTTCCAACCCCACCAAATGCATAGCAGAACCTTCCTGGTCGTTAGTCTTGGTTTGGCCGCCGTTTGAGGTGCTTCACCGCTCTTTGACCACGATCGTTTTCGCACAGGGTTATTGTGTTTGATCTATTTCTCATCTCCAGCCACCATCCGTTTAAGAAAGGGGTCTATCTCTTTCCGTTTTGGCCGTTTTGGCTTCGCAAATGGAAATTCGATCCATCCTATTTTTTCCGTTAATCGAGCTTCTTTTTGAATCCAGGTTTGTGTAAAGTATTATGGTAGATTTTAAGTGAGTTATTTATATAATCTTTCGAGTCGATATTAATGATCTAAGTTTTGAAATGAAAAAGAAAGCCGGGAGAAGAACCTTCATACCCATCATTATGGGACGCGTTTCGCCGTCGGTTATGAGGCATATTGGGCTATGTGGCTTTCCAAACATCGTATGTTGATAACTTGTATTTATTTCGCCCTGACGCGAACTTGCATATACGAATTAAATTCAAATTTGTCAAGGTTCAAAATTTGTCTTCATTCTAGAAACAGTCCTTTTCAAAGCAAAATTTTTTTAGCTCCTGGGCGATGTTACGACTGCTAACATACCGGTCATTATTAAATTTTGACCCGATACAAATAAAATGATACAGTCGACTCCGCTTTACTGTAAGTCGATTAACTGAAAAATATCAGATAAGTGAAATTAATTTCCTGCACCATTACATTTTAGGTTTATCGCCCACAATTTAGTCCGTGTAAGTGAAAGTTCGCAAAACTGGAAATATCGGATAACTGAAATAGCCTTTGAAGTCAAATAATGCAATTTCCTTTTAAATCACTCCGTATTACTGAAAATCATGAGAGTGAAAGATAATGACAGAATATTTTGCATTGAGGAATACACATATTCAAAGCCCACCCTAACAGACATTTTCCTGCAATTAACGATTGACGTCGAAGAACGTTAAGTTTGTTTGGTCAAACTTTTAAAATCATTTGGAAAATTCGAAAAAAAAAATTCGGTTCCGTATTTATATATATATATGTTACAGAATGTACCGTTCATAGGGGAAATGTCAAAAAAATAAAAAAATGTCAAAAAAATTTTGAGGAGGTCGTCCACTTTTAACTACTCTAAGATATTATTTAAATCCTTCAAGCTGATAACCAAAATTTAAATAGGAACAAAGTAAAAATGTGAATCTATAATGAACAAATTTTCCATGGAAGTATGTCACTTATTCACAACTCCATATTAGAGGCAAGTAAGCTATTAAAAATACTTAAATGGCTAGTATGCAACATTTTTAATGACAATCTTTAATCTCTCATAAATATTATATTATAGACCACATAATATGTAAGATTCCTTACAAGCCGCGCATTCTAATAATACGCATAAAAAATACAGTTCTTTAAAAAATCCCAGTGAACATGTCAACCAGTTCAAATTTCTTTCGTCTATTTTCATAAAATTCGAAACCTACGAATTCCATATAAAATATGAATTATAATTCCTAAAACTGAAATTCCTGAAATTATTTTCAGTTAAACGAACTTCGCTTAAGCGAAAACATCGAACAACTGAATAAAAACATCCAGATTTTTTTCCGTTTCAGTAAAGCGGAGTCGACTGTATAAATGTAATGTGCGTATGAGCAACATAAATGCTATATTATAAATTCGCCGTGGTGCCCCTGGCGAATTCATAATTTGTTGAAATTACTGTAGGTCAAAAAAATGTTTAAGTTATTTCCTTGCTTCACTTACAAACTCAACTTAAAATACAAATTTGAAATCTTGCATATACTAGGATGTTTAGTATTAAAACCGGGATATATCAAGGGGCCCAGAAAGTCCTCCTCGCAGAAAATGTTCCTATATTTAAGGTGCCGTCCACAATTCCCAACCGAAGTGGATGAAATTTGCACATCGTAATATTTCTTCCAAACTCAATAAAGTTCGAAGATTGGGAATATCAATCCGGCTCTTCTGGTACCTCCCCCACCAAAATGGTCAAAATTTTTCTGTAAATTAATTTTATTTTACCATGAGAACGTACGGACTATCCGAATAAAAACAAACTTTGCAGAACCTAATATTTCAACCAATTGAATTTCGTCGAATCTTTGCAAATTACATTATTTTTAGATCTAGATCTAGTCAGAATATAGGAACCATTGTTCCACTCTCTTCGGTACTCGGTGGGCACCGCAAACTGCTATAGTAAATATTTTTCAAACAACAAATCCGAAAAGTAGCTCAAGGTTTGACCTAAGGTAAATAAATTACCATTGAAATGTGACAGTAAAATTTAATAACAAAATATCATAAAGACCTTGTAGAGTCGTTTTATATCATATTAAATACATATTTTTGCCAACGGTCAACATTTATTTCCCCAATAATTTAAAATATTT